ACATATTTTTTTCTTGAACCCTGGATTGGAAGACTTCTTTTGTTCTCCCCACTTAAATTCATCACCAATGAATGTTTTTAAGCATCAAGGAGGGAATGCTTTTCCCTCTGGACTAGCAATTAACTTGATCCACTGTTTCACATTTTATATATAAAAAAATAAAATACCCCACCACCGGGGTACTAGTTGTCAAAAACATTCAGAAAATGAGCACAGATCTATTTCTGATCCACATCTGCATGAGCTTTAATGGCTAAAATCTTCCAAACTATAGGTTTTACATTTCAGCTATGCTTCACATGTTCTCTCTGGAAAGCTATGAACAGCCTGCAAATCACGAGTTTCGCATAAACCGTATCTTTAAAAATTAACTTCCACAAACTCAAATTGTAAGGTACCTTTCCTAGCAGCAATCACACATTTATTAGCTATATTAAAACACAGCTCAATGTAATTATTAGTATCCTGGCTTATCTATTAGAAGTCCAATATTTGATAAATGGAAATTTACAACTCATTTTGATTATTTGGAGACAAGTTAGGTGAATAGGCTGTGGATTGTGGTGTCAAAATCATTTGAGTAAGTTTGCCTTACACCTACATTTGAGCTTTCACAGTTTCTTTCCCATGTCTACTAGCCAAGCCATTTCACTACTAGCCAAGATTTCACTTTCTAAGATACAAGAAAAAGCAGTGGGACTGATTTTGTCACTGTCAAAAGAGACAAATCCCTTTTGGTGTGCAAACCTTAATTCTTTATCTGGGAGAAGGACTTTTACTAGCATGCTCCATTAAGAATGTTTGCAACAGCTGTGTTCAATCTTTTGACACAATCACTGTCTGTCTGAATTGCTTCCATTAAACTCATATTTATTTTAGCTTGGAATGGGTTACTGTTTTAAATAATTCAAAATATAGAGAACACAGATAATACTTCCTTTCACTGTCATTATCAAAGTGTTTTGTGAACAAAGATCATCTTCCGTTTGCAGAGCTGTGTCTATTTTGCTGCAAGTGATTCAGAGAGCATAGCTTACTTAGGGTCTATTTTGTCTCCATTAGGCATTTTAAACTGCAAGACCAAATTAATCTTTAAACTTGCCAATTTCTGCACTTTTTTTTTTTCCCCCTGGAAATCTTCAGTGCTGAACAGACATCCAGGAACAACACTTCTAGTAAAAAGTTGTTCCTTCTCTCAGTTTTCAGCTATCATCATTGGCCTCCCATCTTCAACCATACATCTGAATCTTGTATGAGTTCTTGTTATCCAATGAAGCCTTCCTTCCTCTTCACGAGAACAGGCTGTGCAGAACCAGAGAATGTAGCTGGAGTTGGGAAGACCTCCTAGAGCCAGTTGCCCAGGACCATGTGTAGACAGCTTTTGAGTATTGCAAAGGATGGAGATTGAACAACAACTATGTGCAACCTGTGCCAGTGCTCAGTCACCCTCACAGTGAAAATGTGTTTCCTGAGCTTCAGAAGGAACTTCCTGTGCTTTGGATTGTGCCTGTTGCCTCTGCCACTAGACATCACTGAAATGAACTCGGCTCTGTCCTCTCTGCCTCCTCCTTTCATATATTCATATACAGTGATGAGATCCCCGAGCCTTTTATTCTCCAGGCTGAACAGCCTCAGCTTTTTGTTGGCTACTGATGTAAACAAGTTGATCTGAGAGGGACTGTGGTAGCCAAGCCACAGTAGTGGGCATTCTCAAAAAGCCTTTGATTTCTTATTACAAAATCAAGACAGATAACTATTAATTTTGAACACATGCAGGTGCTTTAAATTGGACTCATACCCTTTGTTTCGCCTGTTACAGTTACATGTTATACTTTCATCTTGAAACATCAGTTTTAAAATTATAGGGATTTCCATAGTCTGTGTATATGTATACTTTCATATTTACAGTTAAGACTGTCCAGTCCAACATCAAACAGCTTCAGGCATTGACTAGAAGTTTATTGTCTTTGCAAGTCATTATGCTCAAGCTCCATCAGCACTTCGGGAAGCAAACCTGTGAAGCACCTATGCCTGTTCAACTTGCCATATGCAATTACAGTACATTATATTAGCATTATGTTATTTATTTTAAAGTGTTCAGACTCATTACAGTTGAACTGTTATTTTGACTTGTTATCCTCTAATGGCATGTTACCTAATTTACAAGAATAGCTTCCACTCCATTACTCCCAATTGTTTCAAAGATAAATACTATTTCAAGTAAAAAAAAGGAAAATTCTGGAATTGTACAGGTGCTACTATTTTCTAGCAAGCCAGCGCAACATTTCTTTTGCAAAAGAGTTTCCTTTGCACACTCTGCAGTGCCACTTGTTTTTATCCCAGAAGTTAGCATCTATATTCTTTTCTTTGGTGGCTATGGAATAGATTGTGTCTTTTATCAGGAGTTCATCTCACTACAGATAACTGTCATTCTCAAAAGCTACTGATACTTGAGCCTTTTCAAATAAGGTGGTTTTGTTTCTTTCTTTCTTTTTTTTTTTTTTTTTTAACTTTTTAAATTTAAATTTCCTACAGCCAAGGCATTAATGACACTGGCCACATCTCACAGTACAATTACCTTTTATTAGAGATCTTATTTTACATATCCCCATAAGATATAAAACCTTCCAAGAGAAAATATCAAAATCCTTCAGCTGAAATCAGTTTGTTTCAGACAATATGAGCAAGTAAACCAAAGACAGTTACAATAATGGAATGTAAAAAAAAAAAAAAAAAAAAAAAAAAAAAAAAAAAAAAAAAAAAAAAAAAAAAAAAAAAAAAAAAAAAGGAGTACAAGTACAACTCTGGTAGGAAAATAATTACATGGTTTTAAACCATTTCTTAAACATCATTGTCTCTAAAACCATACTAAAGGTATGGTTTTAAAGGATGCTTGGCTCTCTTAACCAGGAGTTACAAACCCAGCAGGTATAAAAAAACCCCCAAGATAATACAATTGAATTAGATGGCCAATTCAAAAAAATACAGCATAAAAATTCATTAAGACTTGTTGGGGAAAAAAAAAACAAAAACAAAAACACCAGCAAAAACCCAAACCAACAACCCAAAACCCCATCATCACTGATAGCCACATTCTGAGCAAATTAAAGTAAAATTTACCATGAGACTTTGACTGGAATTTTGGCTTACTTAAGTATTTCAGGAAAGGATCCTGAATTGAAAGTTGTTGTTACACAAAAAAAATGCAAAACAAAGGAACAAAGATTAAATCTGCTGGTTAAGGAAGATTCAGGCATCATGATTGTACAGGTGATGAGAAAAGAAAAGATCGAATGTTGTACGAAGAATCTTTTGAAGCAATTCCAAGAGGCAAAATACTTTAAAACTTTATTGCATTAAAATTTTACTTTTCCGCCTAACAAAACTGAAATAACATTTTGAATGTTTTCTTGCACAGAACACATAAAAGTCCCTTAAGCATTTTAATTCTGAAGATGCAACAAAATAAATGTTATGAGAAATTTCTGCTGGAAATCTACCAAGCTTTGAGTTCCAACAAAAAATAGTATTTTCAAATACTATATCTAAGAAAAGTTACAGTACATGTTTATTGCATGAAAACATCCATTTATTGGATCTATTTGTGGTTAGTGGTTCTTATATTCTTGATGTAACTTGCACCAGATCCTACTAAGTATTCCCAATATTACAAAACACACAGTAGATTGAATAAAGTAGGAAAATCTATACAATCCCAACAGAGATCCAAGCTGTGACAATGCATGAAACACAAATATGACTTTCCTTTTCTTTTAAGATAGCCTGAAGCTACATGATATAATTTGATAGACTTTGATATTTGATACAATTGTGAAACAACAGAGATGAAATTAAATACAGGAGGCAATATTAGAGCTAGCATATCTTTTTACCAATTATGATGACTTTTCATGCATTAGTATTGAAGAAAGCAACAATGTATGGAAAAGTAAAGCATAACCAAGAGATAGAAGAATGAGCTATGAAAATAAATGAAGATGAGAAAATGGGATCATACTCAAGTGACTGTTTATATATATTAACTGTTAACAGTAGCTCTACCTAGGGAAATGTTTTTCACACTTGGATGTCTTAAGTACTAAATGTGAATTAATATGAAACAAAGCAAAATTAAATCTCCATTCTTCAGTAACATGAACACTGGCAATGTAACTGAGGTTGCAAGTTTGAAAAATGTTGTTTAAAATATAGGCACATGATTCTGAATTAACAGGTCACCACAGTCTGTGACATGCAAGCACATGTTTTGATGGGTTTGCAAACTATGTCTTGCTTACTATCAACTCTCTGCATCAAGCTGCAGTTTTCTGGAAAGCAGCTGAATTTAGCTTCTATGGTAATTCTTTTTTGTCTGTGTTTCAGGTTATGACATCATATTAATACATTCAAATAGTCAAAATGTTCAGAATAAGATAGCACAAACTTGGTGCAGGAGTACATAGATCAGAGTGTGGCCAGCATTGTCAAATAGGAGATACACATCTTAAGTATTATATAAACTACTTTTCCCCCAAAAACATTAACACAGACACCAAAATTATAACAAGACATATCAAAAAATAAGGCACATTTATTTTGATATGGTAATCTTGAAATAGAAAACTCATTTGGGAGAATATCAGTATCTAAATGAGTTTTATAAAAAATCTTGTATTCATGATAATTATGGACATTTCTCATCACGGTAATGGAATAATTGCACATATCCCAGTGTGTCAAGTAACAAAATGGGAGTTTTATTAAACATTTCCATTGCAAAATTACTTTGTAGTTTCATGTTATCCTATTTACATAACTCAGGTGAATGGTAGAAGTATTAAAATCTACCATCACTTATCACAAGTACTGCAGGCTTTCATTTTACCACAATTAATAATCCCCTTTGTGTTGAATAAATTGAAATTAATTGTGGAATAAATTGAGATTACTGTCATTTATATAAATGATTGTAAATATTTGGACATTAGCTACTACACAAGAATATTTTATCTTATTATTTCCAAGCTGCATCAGGACTTTCTACACTGAGTTATTTGTACGTAAATTCATCAAGAATCAGCAAAAGAAGGCTGTTTAAAATCCAATCCCCTCTTTATGAAACTTAAAACACCAGAAGCATCATTAGTTAGCATTTAACCTGAGATTTAATCTGTTGAGAGGTTAACATCCTTAGAAATGTCTTCACTTGTATTAACTCCCACTGATGTTCCTATTTTATGGGGAGGGAGGAGGGGGAGGGAGGAAACCTGAACAAACAAAAAAGTTGCTTGCAACATGGCTTTTCACTGTGTAGTCAAAAAAAATTATAGAATGCATCTTTTTCTCACAGCATCCAGAAGACGGAACAATATTAATGTGCTTCTTATTGCACGTGAAACTAAGAGGAGATATAATTGCAGATCCTTCTTCTCTATCTGAGTATTAAAGCAAGATTTCATTTTAGCCGAATCCGGAACGTATTTATCTCCATAGAACTCATATTTATTTCACTTATATTTCTGGCATCTGGAGGTGAATGCATCAAAGATAAAGATGTGGGTGTAAGACTTTCCACCCTGAATTTGTTAAAGAGTTTATGCACCTTTATCTGGAGGGGAAAGAAACAAAAACAAACAAACAAACAAACAAAACACCACACACACAAAAACAAACAAAGAACTGCATTTAGAAAAGGCAATCTATATCTTCAAATGATACCTCTCCTTACAGGTACCAGCACAGCAATTCTCCCACCAAAGACTATGAATATTTTTAAGTACCGTAGATCAAATACTATATACTAATTCAGAAATTTTTAGGCAGTATTCACTTGCTACATTTCAAAGGAAGTTAAATACATTAAAAACTATTAGAAATATTAAAAATCTTCTTATTAAAACAATATTTGCTTTCCTCCCTAAAGAAAAACCCAAATCTATTTTAAAATTTTATTACAAAATTTCTACAGATTAATTAACTTCCATTCCATCTATGATCTTCAGAAAAAATTATTTATATTTCATAGTTTTACACATCACATCAATTCTATAAAAATCTTAAAATACTTTGATATTTATACTAATGTAGGTCATTTAAGAAAGAATGGGCAGAAAAAGAACATGCTATACCAAGCAACAGTTACATAACTTGTGGATATATTAGTATTCTTCAAAAGATACACTTTAGAATACGTAACTTGATTTCTTTTACTTCACAGAGTTCTAAAAGACTATTAGAAATTATCTGAGAAATACTCATTCATAGGAAGTTAATGAGATTAAAACTAGTTTACTTTTTGATTGTTAAAGGGTCATTCCCACAAAACAGCAAATACACAACTTTATCAAATGGAAAGCAGCTTTCAAGGTAAACTCTATCATCATCCTGAATCTGTAACTCTTGAGAAATAAATTCCTCATCCTCACCTACAATATGACTAAAGTATCAATGTTTCTGCAATACTTGTAAGGTAAGTCGCCCATAAAATATCAGTATACCTTTCCCTGAGTAGTGGAACAGAGCAGACCCATGTCTCTGTTTGAAAATCTGCAGTCAAATCCCTTCCTGTGAAGAATCAGAGCAGCTTCATCAGATGGTTCGGTATCTACCTACAAATAAACAAGATAAAAGATTACTCACAAAGTAGAAGTAAGAAAGATATTTTAGACCTCATAAAATTATCATTATCATACAGTGGTAGAGCCACTTATACCTTAAAAAAACCCAAACCAAACCAAAAAAAAACAACACCCTGTTGTAAAGCAGGAGTAACAGCAAAAAATTTTTCACATTTTAGATGAACTTACATATAAACCAACTTCACACCGCATGAGTGACACATCACAAGATGCCCTTCATAGAATCATAGAATTGATCAGCATGAAGAAGATCCTTAAGAATTCTAAGTCTTAACATTAATGTAGCTGTGCCACTATCCAAAGCCATGCCAGTTCTTCAGGCTATTTTTCTCTTACTTATTTCTTTTTTACTTGCTTTTGCACTGGTGCTTTTTCACTAAAGCTTCTGCCATTAGGTAGGTTCATTTCTGACACTTCAGAAACCTATGCCAATGAGCAGTAGACACTTTGTGATGCTTTAGTTCTTGAAGGTGTACCAAATGAAAGGTCTTAACCTAACAGACTTTTCCCCATTGTTTTCTTCTCATAAAGGAGATCTTGATCAGCCTGAATCAGATTCTTTGAAACCCAGTACAACATAGATTCAAAGTGAGACAAATTTTTAGTATTAAGTACTCATTCAGATAGTAACAAAAGGTAAACTGATAAACTTTGTGGTTTTAAGTTCCCCATTTAAAATAGTAAAAATTTATTCAATAGTGTTTGGAATTGAAATGAGCTACTTTTCAGTAAAACAATGACAATTAAAAATTTTGCACAGTTTACAAAACATGACTAAAACTCAGTTTGAGAAGATTTCATGAACACTAGCTTGTAAACACCCAAAATCAGGTTTTTAACTAAAGACTGGTGTCTACAGTCAAGCTTTTAAAAAAAGTTTACCGTATTTAATAGAATTGATAGTTAAACAACTTTTTATCCTGTTCGTTGGAACAGTCATACCACTTTCTACATGAAGTAAGGTAATAATGATGATGTGACAAAATTAGTTTCCCTCTCCTCCTATGAGACAGCTGACTTGGTTTTCATTGTCACTGATGTGACAGTGTTGCATTTAAAAGCAGATTTTATGCACAGAAAATAACACTGTCTGCCTAAACATCAGATTAGTGAAACATTAAAATTCAGACTAAAAAAGCCTGACTTCCTATGGGGTAAATTAACATTAAAAATGACAAGCCAGTAATGGGTATCAACACTTTCTCTATTACAGTTAAATTATCTTTTACTAATCTGCATAACAAATGCATGTATGCATTTCAAATTATGGCATGAATATTTAATCTCTCAAATTTTTAAAATTAAATATTATCTTAAGATTCAGAAGATTTAAAACATAAAAGTAACACACAATGACAACTTGAGAAAAAGAGTTTACTATGTCTATGATATAGTATTCCACCTTTTATCATGCACATAGCAACCACAAGCAAAAAATTATAGCTATTCTAACCCATTTTCAAAGCAGGTGTAAAACTAAGTCTCACAGACTTCATATCTACCTTAACTTGCCTGTTCTTATCTCTACATAAATCAGACCAAGAGCATGCTAGCCTAAGGCATGTCTGAGCAAGGATGAACTTAATTTACAACAAATACACCTTCTAAACACAACCATGCTCAAAAACTGCACAAAACTCTGTAACCAATTCCTCAATTTTCAATAAATAACAACATCCTTAACCTTGTAAAACTTCGCAGCACTGTTACATGGCAAAAAAACCCTAACCATTGGACTAGCAAACTTCTAACTAGCTTTCTTGGAAGAGCTGCCAAAGTTTGATTTGATTTTGATCTCTGAGAATTGAAATGTAGCCTCTGGTTAGGCTTTTAGATAGAAAAAAAATAAAATTTCTAGGTTTTCTCATAAGCACTATGCCAGGGCAATGCTGCTAAAATTTTGAATAGAAAGAAAAAAAACATTTAAATTCTTTTTAAATCAAAAAATTTAAGGCAACATAACAAAATTATGTATTTATGTTTAGTATAAAGTAACAAATGTTCTCAGTTTTAAATCATGAAGCCCAGTTTATTATACCAGGTAAAACTGTGTCAAACTTCTTAACTGGAGATCTATTAAAAAAATTCCTTAAAGGTCACATTCATAAAGGATTTGACTCTTCCAAAACAAGATCTGATATTTTACATAAATAGCAATATTCTTTCTGATTTCTACCTTAAATCTTAATAATAATTTATTTTAATTTGGTACCCTTTTATGTGAAATTGTAATGGATTATGGAAAATCAACTTCCACAGCTAAGGCAATGGAGAAGTATATATATATATATTCTTCCCCCACCCCCCCCCCGAAAAAAAATTCATTGTGTCAATTAACCAGAATTATGACACTTATCATTCAAATTCTTGGAAGACAGAGAAAGGAAGCAGAAAGTGAGGAAAGATTTACAAAATTATTTGCAAAGCATTTTCTGCTGTGGACAAGGACTGTTCTATATCTATAACAACATGCACCTCTCCTATGACTACTGCAAATGTTCACTTTGCAGTGGACAAAGTGAAGCTGTGGGCTCAAGAGCTGTCAGTCAGTAATCAATGAAATATACAGAATACTACACTATGCATATTCCTATGTTGTGAAAAAACAACCCCTGCATTCTATATTAGTCAGACACAAGCCTCTAGTTCTTGCAGAACAAAAGCTATTTATCACATAGCAGTTTACCATGTCACATAAAACCTTCCACAAATTACTTCCCAAGAATAAATTGTCTATATTAATAAGCTATACCATATTTTTGCTCACAAAAGCAGCATTTTGACCTTACCTTTGATTGGATTGTCCTCAGATTGACTATATGCATGTCACAAGGCATGGACAACATGAGTGGAGAAAATATATTCATCATCTCTGGGACACCTGACTCTGCATTTGTTGTCATTGGAATTACAGGATGATTTAGGAAAAGAGAGGTCATATGGCTAAGAAGTGATGGAAAACTGACTGATGCCTTCTCTTCATTCTGCAAAATACAAAAGAATGAATCCAGTTAAGATATCTGAATTTTTAAACCCACTTACTTTATAAATTATTCCATTTGTTGCCTAGAAAATCTTAATTTTTAGACTGCTTATTTAATTACTTTTGGAAACTTTTGATTGTCCAAGAGTTTTCTTCTATTACTAGGTATACTTCTTGTTTTTACACACCATTAGTACATCTTTCAAAATTATGATTAGATGACACCTCATTTTACACCATTCCTCACTTTTCTGTGTTAGACCCTGATGTATAAACAAGGTAGTTTAGAGAAAGAAACTAGCAACTACGTTAGCAAGTTGCTCCTATTTATTCAGTATCTATTTAAATATGAAGAAAAAAAACCCTATTCTTTCATAGGCTTCCTTTTCCACCTTAATTTTCTGACCTGTATTTCTTACTTTCGCTAACTTGTATACTAAATCCTTTATTCTATTCTAAATCTTTCTTCTTCAAATTATTCACTGGAAGAAATAACAACTGGCATCTTTGTCTTGGTGTGCATTGCAAAAGATTCCTTTTCAAATTTTTATGTCAATGTCATGCCAGCAGGAAGTGAAGTGACTCTCTCCCAAGATTTCCCAAGTTTTGTACTTTCCCAAGTTTTGTGTTTGCAGTGGTTTTACAAAGCTGCAGAAGCTGCTTTACAAACCTGAAATTACTAAATCCTACATATTCACAACAACTAGCTGAAGATCCATAGAAGCCAAGGAAAGAAAACAAAAGAACTTGAAAAAGGCAATTTCTGTTTTGGAATGTCAGTGAAGATAAGATAGAACTGGGTGAAAACTTGTTTTGCTGTTATTTTTTTCTTTTTCCTTGCATACTTAGTCAGATAAATCCCCGCTTGTTTAAATAGGTGACATTTAATGAAAACTTCACAGAAAGGTTACTGAAAACATAGTATCTTAAGCACTGTTAAACTTACCCTTTATGACAGGCAGAAAAAATGGAAATAAAAAACAAATGAGTGATACTTTAAGCAAAGGGGAGAATTATTTTCCAGCTTATAACAGACAACCACTAAGAGTAATTTCTGGTTTGGAGTGTGTATGCATGTATGCATATTTATTTATACCTCTGGAGCAGCATTAAGTATAGCTGACAGTGTAGCAATTGAAAATATGCCAGAGTTGAATCAATACAAGATGGTAAATTCTGTTTTATTCTTGGTGCTTTTCTTAGTAACGACTAAGACTTTGCCTCTTTGGGAGCTACTAAGCATTGAGGTTAGTACTTTTAAATACCTATTATGACGCACAAATTACTTTACAGAACTGATAACAGCTGATCGTTGCAGAGGATTGCTCCTCCACGTTTCTCACTACATTTATTTATATTGAATTTCATCTGCCATTTTACAGCATCTTTAATCAGTCATGAGTTTTCTAATTCCTCAGTTAGCCTTGATTTTTTTTTTTTTTTAATCTTAAAAAGTTCAGCATCACTGGTCAACTTCATTGTCATGATTTTCTTATTTTTGAATTACAGTATGAGCAAACTTGCTCTACATACAGCTAAATCTGAAAGTCTTCAGTTTAAATGACTGCAAGCACGCTGTACCCACATGGAAAATGTCTACACCCATCTTATTTCAAAGCAGAATTCACTTTTTGACCCCAAGAGGAACACTGTTGCCTCTGTTGCCATTGAGGTGCTAAAGTCGGTCAAAATATTTTATTGTAATTTCTCTTTATTATTATTATTATCGGTGCGTTTGTAGCAAGCGTGGGTAGAGCCCTTCTCCAACCTTCGTTCGCGTAGCCTAGCCGTGATATTATTATTCCATCTGTTTTCCCCCTGTAAAATGAGTTGATTGCTTGTATCTGAGAACTTGAAAACAGGTCTCCTAAAATATCTCACAAATCACACATGAATCAGAAAAATGATTTATTCATCCTATTTAAAACAAAATATGCAGGAAAAGCCCTTGCAAATGGTTCCTAGTTCTAGGCATGTTACCTGAGAACAAGCAGAAGAGAAAACTACCATCCAGGAACAACAGTTATTCAAGATAAGTTTTTTTATTTTAAACAATGGGTATTCATACTCATTTGAGATCAGCAATTTTGCCTAAACAGAATCCATGTTCAGCCATTTCCTCCTCTGCTTTCAACCTCAGCCTAGCATACACTGCTATCATGACCAAGGAAGAAATGACTGTTCTATATCCAACACAGTTGCCTTCAACTCCAGATTTCTCAGATTTAAGGGATTCCAAAAGATGGAAAGAAAAAGAAGGGTGAGCCTTCACAGAAATAACATTCCATTTTGTCTTGTCTTTTTTTAAAAATGCTTTATATATGTGCAAATCCTCACAGTAAGACATCCCAAATATTATAGAAGGGCCACAATTTGTTATGTGAAGAGTAATTGAAAAATCATTTTATTAAGTGCAACTTAATGCCTGAAAGAAAGTACTTGCTGAAAACAAACTGAATTCATTTAGATGTCCTCATAATTTCAGTAACAAGTGTTCCTCAGAAAATGCCACCAAGGTAATCTGAGATGAAGAGACATGATATCTGAAAGCTTCTGTTATATGTGCAGAAAACTACTGTGTACAGAAACACAAGTATGCCATCTATGAGTCAAAACTTTGCCTAAACCCCAGAGTGTAAATAAAAATGGGAGGCAAGTTTGCATATCATCTGACACAAAAGTAAAAGACTGCCCATGGTAAAAGTATCAGATGAATCCTCAGTCTTCTCTAGGAAAGGATAGCACAGGGAAGGTCAATTTTCTAGGTCTGAATCCTTAGCCTTCTCTAAGACTAACAGAAGCAATGAGAATAAAAAAGGTGGATTTAATATAAAGATATAGTAGGCTGTATTGCAGTTGAGAATCCAGGAAAGATGGAAAGAATATCATGGGAAACTTTAAAAAAGAATGTGGTTGGAAGAGAATATGGGCAGTGGGACAAAATTCTCAGATAACTCATAGCAGAACCAGAAAACCCGCTTCTCAATTCCTAGATTCTGGAAATAACTGAGGATTGCAGAGAAACACAGCCTTGAAAGACTCTAGCAAATGCTAGAACCAGACATGATTCAACTTGGCTCATTTTTGCTCCCCATAGTAAAACATTATGGGCATAAACATTGTCCTCATGCATTATCCACTTTGAAACTAAGACTTAGGTGGAGATTTTATCTTGAGTCCTGTACCTACATCTGGAACGGCAGTCCATTTTGGATGATTGCACTAACAAAAGTGCAGTCATTCACTGAGTCTATGTAATAGCAGGGGGAATGGAGAGTACAGAAAGTGTCAAAAGCTGCCAGGAGATCAAGGGAAAAAGGGTTTTGCAAATACTGCGAGGACAACATTATCACAGAAGGCTGAGAAGGGACATTTCAAATCACACTCCCCACTAGTACATCACAGTCATGAAAGGACTGGAGTACATCTTTCCCCTCTCAACCTAAAGATCCAAAATTTAAGCAGGACTCTCAGGAAAGAGAGATGAGAAGGCTTTGCGCATGCAAACATTATATTTGGAAGAACAATTACTCTATACACACCTTCACTATGCGGACGGCTTTCAGCAGTACCCTGCTGATGCTAAGTAGAAGATGTAGTCCCACAATCTCCATCTAATAAAGTACTGTTCTCTCAAAAGTGACATTATTTCCTCAACTTCAATGACAGCATTTATCACTCAAAGCATGAATGGAGCTCCTCTGGCACCCTTACAAACATTAAGTACTGGCAAGAATCTGATGAATACCAGATCATGATGTGCCAGCTTAATGAGCTCTAATCGAAGCAAATACTGCCTTTTTAACTACTTTACAGTACATTAATATACATTTATCCAATTGGAAATAGTCTGTGTTGAAATACAACCCCCTGAATGGCTTTGTAATACATGTAAACAAATAATTTAGGATTTTTCCTTGTCATCAAAAGTAAGGTGAATGATTCTAAACTTTCTCTTTTGAGGAAAAACAAACCATACTCCAGTATAACATTATCTTATAATCTGCAACAACTTCTAAGAATAGCCTCATTTATAAAAGGTGCCCTTATATCAGAAAAGAGCTATTTTACTGATAATCACAGAAATAATAGAAAGGATTGGGTTGGAAAAGATGTTCAAGTTCTGACCGCTCTGCCTTTGGCAGGGATGTTACCTACCTAGATCAGGTTACTCAGGGACCCATCCAAACTAGCCATGAACACTTCCAGGTTTGGGGCATACCTACACTGGGCAAAGTATTTCAGTGCCTCCTCATCCTCTGAGTAAAGAGTTTCTTCCTAATATCCAACCTAAATCTCCCTTCCTCTATTTTAAAACAATTCCCCCTTTTCCTATCATTATTACTATTTTTTGTAAAAAAGTCAGTCTCCCTCCAAGAAAAGACTCAGAGTGTTTTCTGGAAAGAGTCAAAATTGAGGAACTGATTCCCTTAATTAGGGGGAAAAAACACTAATTAGACTCTTCAGAAATCACTTAGTAACCAAATAGAAGAAATAAACAGAAAATAATGTAGAGAAGAAAGTAAAGCTGAAGCAGTCGATAACTGGACATCAATTGAGCTAACAAAAAGCCAATGAACTTTTCAACATTAGAATTTCCCATATAAATGGAAGGAAACTGAGGCAGACAGTATATCAAATCCCATATCTTGAATATTTTCTCCTCCTCTAGACTTTTTTCTACTATAAAAAAAGTCACAAAAGAAATTTAATTACAACAGTAAATCCCAAATGGCACCTGAACTACCTGCTCAAACAAGCTGAAATGTGGACACTCACTTTGGGTGCTAGCTTACTGAAATAAAATCTGGAAACAGAGAGAATTATGGGCCTGCAAGATCAAGGGATGTAGACTAAAATAGTTCGATACCTAACCACTTAGTTAATTCCTGGAAAGAAAAAGTCTCTCCTTCTCTCTCATGTTTTGTGAGGAAACAGTTTATATCAACTTTCCCTCTCACAGGTTCAGAGAACCTTCAAGCAGCACTCTTCAAAGAAAAA